AACCTGTCTCTTATACACATCTAGATGTGTATAAGAGACAGTATATATTCATTCTGAGCATGGGTGACTAAAGGGTAGACCAGTTTCAATTTGCTCTGCAAGCTGTCATTAATAATCACTAGTTATATTTATATAAGGTACGGATTTTTTCTAAAAGGAACTAAGAAAACAAGCAAAATAATTAACTTACCAGTGTACAATAACAATGTCTCGAAGAAAAGAATCAAAACTTGATGGAAAAGCGACTGAGCCTGTTACCTTTGATGCTCCGGAGCAGGAAATTCAAATTACTTCAGTTGCTGACGAGCTCAAACACCTATCGGATACGTTAAACGGTAAGCTAGACAAAGTCTTAAAAAACCAAAAAAGTTTTGGTAAAAGACTAACAAAATTAGAAAAATCACAGAAAGAGCTTGAAAATTCAATTGAATTTGCACATAAAGCTACAGGAGAAGCAAAATCCGAATATAAAAAACTTGAAGAAGACACTTTAAACAGAATGAATCATGAACACGAAAACAAAATGGCAACTTACGAAAACAAAATGGCGGAGCATAAAATCAAAATGGCGGATATTGAAAGAGATACCTTGAGGCTTGAACGTTATTCCCGAAGTTTTAATTTAAGATTTGGAGGAATCTCAGAACAATCAAAAGAAAATACACAAGACAAATTGCAAAATTTAATTGAAAAAGAACTTGGACTATCAACATCATAATTGAAAACAGCCACCGAGTAGGTAAAAGATAAGCCGCGACACATTCATGCCAAGTTTCTCTATAGACTTCAACGAAATCAGGTACTGGCTAAAGCAAGAACAAAATTGAGAGGCAAAGTTATATTTGTTACTGAAGATCTTCCAGAAAGTGATGTTTGTAAAAAAAGGGAACTATCAGACATTATGGCGAAAGCATATGCAGAAAAGAAGAGGCCATTGTTAAAAAATGGCGCTTTGTACATTGATGGTGTCTTGAACCGACCACAATAAGAGCCAAGTAATCGTCAACATATAAAGGCCAACTCAGACAGCGTCGGCCGACGCAGCCCGACGCGATTTGTTGTCGCGTCGGGTCTATGTAAGTTGAACGCAGATGCGATGGTGTGCGTCGGGGGCAGTCGCGTAGTAGAATATTAAATGTGTTTAATATTTCTCACGACGGCTTAAGACTGTCCCC